CCTAGCCTGTCAGTCGCCTTACCTCATCATCCATCGCTCACTGCTTCTCCGTTGTACCTGGCCCGACTCCCATATACTCTTGCCCGAGACAGGCTTCTTTTTCACGTTAAAACTACGTTGCAATCAGCGATATCCGTTATATCCCAAGAGGTTGCGCTCTCCCGCTCTCTTTACTGTCTCGTCTCTCGGTGATATGTAATCACTCTTACCCCCCAACCCCGTCTTTTGAGCGGCAGTATCTGGCAGCATCTCGGTCCTTTCAGTCTCCAGAACCAGACGCGCCAGGTACAGAGGGAGCTGCGGCTTTTGTGGCCGTCTCTCCTTCTTACACCTTCCCAGCCGCCTCTCTCACACCCCTGCTCTCTCGGGAACTTTTTCCCCTTCATGATGCCGACGCTTCCATCGAGCTGCAACTCGTCTTATTTAACCCAAATCAGTGGCTCTGCTTCTTGACAAGCCTCGGGGTTTGTTTCGGACGGTCTCGCTGACATGATATGTACTCTCCACAGAAACAGCCCACTTGGCAGCGCAGCTCGAGCTACTAAGCCAGCACACCACGCCCATCTCGTCTGACAACGCGACGGCCCCATCTCGCGGAGCTCGTCCCCAAGCTGCCAAACCACCGACCGCGTCGCCTGCTCATGGCTATAGTAACGGCACGAACTCGCCGCCCTCTGACGTCTTGCCGCCGATAGTCAACAACAGCAGCTCCAACAACAACGCCGACCCCGAAGCGCACATCCACCCCGATCTTCGAGCCGCTCGCAACGTCCACGCGCCAGACGTGAACATGATGCCCGCTGGCCCTCCCCCGCCTCAGCAAGCCGCTCCTCCCGTTACCGCTGCCGGCCCATCGACTGCCCCTCCTCCTCCGACCCATCCCGCCTCGACAGCTATGGCGCTGGACGACGGTGGAGCCGGTAGCAAGGCGAAGCGCGAGCTCTCGCAGTCGAAGCGCGCCGCGCAAAACAGAGCTGCCCAGGTATGTCTTGATACGGTTTGCGCTGGATCGCCGGGGGCGCGTGACTGGTGCGGGTCGCAGGAGCTGTCTCGGTGCTTACTGCGTCACCTGGGTCGTCTGACTGCGGTCCCGTCGGTGCAAGCGCATCTGACACGTCCGCGCCCTTGATTTGATCGCCAATTGACAGAGACTAACATGTCGAACAGAGAGCCTTCCGCCAGCGCAAGGAGCATTACATCAAGAAGCTGGAGCAGCAGGTCCGGGACTACATGGAGATGGAGCAGAGCTACAAGGCGATGCAGTCAGAGAACTACGCCCTTCGCGAATACGTCATCCACCTGCAGTCGCGGCTGCTGGACGCCCAGGGCGAGATCCCGCAGCCCCCTCCCAACGTCAACCTCGCGCAGCCCCCCATGCCGCCCGCCTCCGCCGCGACGAGCGCCCCCGAGGTCGCGCCCAGCAATCCGGCAGCCGGCACGCCGCTCGAGGCCGTCGCGCAGGCCGTCGCAGGACTGGCCGCCCAGGAGCAGCTCGCGGGACGCCAGCAGTTTGAAAAGGCATTCTCGCCGGAGCAGCAGGGCAAGGACGAGACACGGCGCGAGGGTGAGGAGATTGACAGCCAGCTTCAGCAGGACGGCCTTCCGGCTGCGCCGACCGCGTCGATGTAGGGCTCGCCGTGGACGTGCTGATCCTGGGCCGACGCCTCGCCTTTCAATGTTTATGCTTAGTTGGCGTTGCGGTATAATGGTTTGTCAAGATATTACCAAGGGGCAGGCGTTTGAGGGATGAATTGTATTTTCTAGCCACCTTACTCCTGAGTCAAGACTCCCGAGTAGGGGTATTTTTGGGCCAAAGCCTCAGGCTTGCGCTACTTATCAAAAGAGAACGGTTGTTGTGTGAGTGGAAGAGGAGGCAGCAGCAGCCCTCATTTCGAGCATTCGAGAAGTACTCGGTTTCAGCAGGACCTTGGCAGTGATGCGCTTTGGATGGAGGGACTTGCATGTGTATACAGACATTTCGCTGGGCAGAATCGCACCATTGTTATTCGTCACGGTGAACAAGGGAGTCAATTGACTTTTTCGTCTCATTGTGACAGACTGTGTAAACTATGTTGACCATTTCCCTGACTACCCATTCTAGCTCCCGCAATAGCGCCCGACTAATCATACATATGAAGTGTTGCCAAGGTCGTGTTCCTAGGCTCGTGTTAGCATGTCTAAGCGCTGCATCATGAAGCGGACTCACCTTGATATACTCTGACCCCTTCTCCTGGTACTCCTCGCGCGTGATGGTGGCGGCTTTCCAGGCGGCCGAGCCCGCCCAGCCAGCGGCGCCCTTCCACGCGTCCAGCAGAGCGTTCTGGGCACGGCGGATGTGCAGCGGCGAGTCGGCGGGGAGCAGCGGCGTCAGGCCGGACCGGAGCCGCTCGTCGAAGCCCTGGAACATGGTGTTGCCGCCCGTGAGGAAGACGTCCTTCAGAAAGTCGTCGCGGTTCGGCACGGCGCCGAGGCGCTGGTTGAGGATGTCGCCGATGATCTCCACGAGGCCGGACTGGTCGACGCCCGCGATGGACGGCTGGAAGACGACCTCGGGGACGCGGATGCGCTCGACGTTGAGGTGGATCTGGTTCAGCTCGGCCTGGGAGCCCGCGTCGAACGGGCGCGGCCCGCGGGCGAAGGCGTGCAGCATCGACTTGGACCAGTCCGTCTGCGCCTCGTGGGTGTCCTCGTACGTGAAGTCCGGGTCGTAGCGGAGCAGCTCCTCCTCGTAGATCTTGAGGTTCGCGTTCAGGTCTTCCTCCTCCTGCTCGTCGTCGCTGTTGTCGCCGACGACGATCTGGCGGTACACGCCCCAGTCGTCGTCGTTGGCGCCAAAGTTGTCGTCGTCGCCGCCGCGGCGCCGCTTCTTGGTCGGGTTGTCCGAGGCCAGGTTGGCGATGCTCTTCATGCGGATCTGCGAGGCGAGCGACTTGCGGTTGCCGAGGTCCTGCTTGAGACGCTCGCGCTCCTTCATCTTCTGCAGCGTGAGGTCGCGCCGCTGCCGCTTCTCCTCGAGCCAGCCCTCGAGGTCGTTTTCGCGGCGCTCCTGGTCCAGCCGCTTCTCCTCCTCGATGCGCGCCTTCTCGGCCTCCTTCTCGGCCTTTGCGCGCGCGCGGGCGTCGTGGTTCGACTTCATGAGCTTCTGCTGCCGCTTGGCCTTGAGGCCGGCGTCGTCGAGCTCCTCGTCCGGCACATCGAGGAGGTCGAACACGGGCTCCTGCTGGTCCTCCTCGGCGTCGCCGCCCACGTCCTTTGTGCGCGCCTTCTTGACGGCCTTGTCCAGCACGGCAATGGCCTTCTCCAACGCGGCCTCGTCCTTGAGGTCGTTGCTGTCCAGGAGCCGGCGCACCTCCTTCTTGTTGGTCTGCTGCTCCAGCTTGACCTGCAGCTTCTTGTAGTGCTCCAGCTCGTTCTCCTTGCGCATGAGCTTCTCCAGCCGCATCTTGGCCGCCTGCTGCTGCAACCGCCTGCCGCTCTCCTTCTTGCGCTCGGCGATGCGGGCCAGCTCCTCCTCGGTCTTTTGCACGACGACCTCCTCCGTGAACGGGTACTGGATCACAATATCCCGGTCCTCGAGGCCCGTCCAGTCCAGGTAGCCCCGCAGCTCGTTGTCGAAGTCTTCCGAGACGTAGGCGTGGTCGCGCAGCATGTGCTCGGCCTGCGACACGTTGAGCTTGCCCGTGAAGGCCGGGTACTTGAGCCGGATGAGCTTGAGCAGGTACTCGGCCGCGTGCCAGCCGCCCCAGTTGAGCCTTGTGGCCTGGCTCAACATGGCCTTGTGGTTGTAGACGGGTATTACGTGCGTGGAGGTGTAGGACGACGAGACCACGATGCCCGTGTTGCCTTTGTTGTGTCTGTAGGAGAAGAGGGAGTCGATACCGTACGCCACAGATGGAGCGCCGTAGCATTCAAAGACGATTTCCGTCATGGCTGTGATGCGTTAGAGGTGTAGTCTCCAGATTGGTTCCAAGGCTTACATTTCCGTGAGTACGGCAGGTTGGCGACCGCTTCCGTCATGACGATGGGCACGTCTATGGACGCATCGTCGCCGTTGAGCCCGAGCTTGAGGAAGATGTAGTCGAGCAGGTGCTCCATGACGTCCCAGTTGCTGACGATGCCCGTCCCCTGCTCGAAAGCGTATCGGATGTGGCTCCTCGCCGTCGTGTCGGCGTAGCAATCGCTGCCGGCGAAGGAGTACGTCTTGCCAGCCTTCCGGTCGCGGTATTTGGACATAATCGGGGGGATGTTCAGCCTGGGCTTCTCTTCGAAGGACCAGCCGGCGCGCACTGCCGATGAACCTGTGATTGTTAGCGGGCGGGCAATCCTTGCTCGCTGTCGTCGTGCTCACCGTTGTCGATGACGATGGCTGCACCCGGGTGCGCCGCTGCCTTTTCTCTTCCATCATGCTGTACGGCAATCGGCCTCTCAAACTTTGCCTCCTTCACCGGGAATATCTTGGCGGGCGGATACGTCCTCTCGGGCGGTCCCTTAAGAGGAGGGAGCTCCTCGGTTGCTGAGGGCGCCATCGCGATGCTCGTTGAAGGGTCTAGGCTGTCGCGATGCGACTGACCATGCCGAGGGTGTGAGTCGATTCGAAGCGGATGGGATTCAATCGTCTGGGCCGTTGCAGGTTGTCTCGAAGGGGCCGCGTCAGTTGTGTCTCGTTCAATGCGTCTGTTCGGTCGTCGTGTTCAAGTCGCGATGCGCCGTCTTGCGAGGCTACCTGAGCTACGAGGCTGTAAAATTTAGTGGGTCGGGACGTGCTGCGGCGTAGCTGTTAGTGGTCACAGGTGCCCGGACAGCATGACTTGAGTCTGGGGGAGGTGACCACATCCGTGGATGCTTTTTATTCAAAGAAATAGCAAGAAGTCAATCAGTTTAACCATATTGTGTATTCAGTCTCTTCTGGGGTATTCTGCCATGACCTCTTGGTCTTCTCGCCAGCTCGTCTCATCATATCTCATTGATCATCCATCACCCCAAAGAAAATCCCAGGAAATCTATGAAGGTGGCTTCAAGTTGTCCGTTGCTAATGCGAATGAGCAGATGTGAGCAGAAGAGATGCAGGCGGACATACCCTCAAGATGGAAGAGGACGTTGGACTGGTAGTTCTTGAACATTTGAGCGACAAGCTCGACGTTCATGTTTTGGATGTTGATTTCCTGTCACAGTCAGACCGGACGTCTGCATGTCAATGTGATTTCATTACCTGCAAGGACTTGTTCATGACCATGACGGCCTCGTTGAGTTTCTCCTGCGTCGTGTAAGTCGCGATGCTGCGCAGTCTGCCTGGTAAACATACCACATTGGTGATGATGCGGGAAAGCAGAAGGTTCTGCTGGTGCTCGTGTGGGCTCTCCTGTTCGGGCGTCAGCTTGTAGAAACTAACAGACTCATCACAATGGCCTACCATCTTGCTTTCGCTGCTGTGTGTGAAGGTGGTTCGTTTGTTTACTTGACGCTACGACCCCCGCCAGGACAGATGCAGAGGTACCCGAGTACACCGAGCACACCGGACAAGCGGTAAGCCGCGGCAGAATAAGCTCCCCTGCCACTGCCTCAACCAGCAGCACCGTCATCCCGTCGCCCTCAATTCGATCCGCAACGCCTGTGACGACCTGCGCGAAACATCTCACCCAACCTTATCTACGTAAAGCACATGATGGCGGCACCAAAAGAGCAGACGGAGGCGCAAATCGCCCACCAGGCCCTCCTCGACGAGATCGACATCCACTCAATCCACAAGAGCTTCCGCAACCCGTCCTGGCGCCCCAACCAGCGCCGCAACAAGAACATCAAGACCATCCTCGGCGATGCCTCCCGTCGCGAAGCCTCGGCCATGGCGACCCCGCAACAGGATGACAACAGCGGCGCCGGCACCCCGGCTGCCGGTCAGCAAGACGACGGCCTCTCCACGAGCGGCACCTCGACGCCCGCCACCGGCAAGGACGCCTCTGGCCTGCCGCCGAACCTGGCCCAGGCCTCGCGCAGCCTGTCGAAGCTCGTTCTCGAGAAGAGTCTGAAGCCCAACGGAGGCGCCGCGCCGGCCGTCACGTACACCAACATCGAGTCGGCGCCGTCACTGGCACACACAAAGCGGTACTGCGACATCACGGGCCTGCCCGCGCCGTACCTCGACCCCAAGACGCGGCTGCGGTACCACGACAAGGAGGTGTTTGGCCTGATTCGCACGCTGCCCCAGGGCGCGGCGGAGCAGTTCCTGGAGGCGCGTGGAGCGCACACCGTTCTCAAATAAGTTGGCGTCAATGGGTTATCTGCTTTGCGGAGTCACGGCGAAGGCGTTACGGCATCGCGTTGTTTGGGACTTGGAGCATGGGAAACGAATTGTATTCAAAACAGTACTACCAGCTGGGATATGTGCGACCAACAAAGTCAAATCTCAACTACACAGCCCTCCGCCTTTCAGCAAAGGGTGCTAGATGACACTCCGGCTTAATCGTGATCAGAGATTGTTCTCCGCCTGTGAATCGACAGATTACCGAGAACGTATGGGAGACGATACTCAGTTGCCATAGCTCGAGGCTACGGCCGCCGCGGCGAATTAGATGAAGTGACACTTGCCGCGTCCATCGACTGCCCATATTGTGAGCTTGCTCGTGTGCCCGTTAACTCGTGTTTGAGTTGCAGCTTCAGCAGACAAATCTCAACAAACATGCCGCGTCGAGAAGCACGTTGGCATAAACCGCCATCTCGCCAGCTGGCGGTTCATGCGACGGTCGTTGTGAGCTCCATGGTTGTGAGGATGGTGAGTTGAAGCGTCTAAATTTTCCACAGGTGAGCGTGGGTTAAATCAGCACCCACGACCCCCACCGAGGTCTGCCCCCCGCTGTTATTGGTCCAAATGCCGTGACCAACCCTCGCAGCGCATTTTTAGCGCGTTGTCCCATCCCCCAAACGATCCGTGACAGCGCGGGCAGCAGCAGCGCAACCCCTGTTTCGTGGCAGGAACGCTGGCTTTGTTTCCTCCTAGTGTAGTAGTGATCTGGTCTTAAATCTAAAAGTTGTCGTCTGCTCCCGCCAGTTAGCTACAGATCAGCAACTCCTTGGCCTTCATACGTTTGCGCGTCGAGTCTCACAAGTCACCTGTGGCTCGCATTGAATCACTCGAACAAACCCCGATATCAAACCAAGTCCATCCGACTCGACAGTCAACCAAACCGTGCAAGATGGCGTCGATGTGGATGTCGGATTCCCAGAGTACGTCGACCCGCGGAGCTCCACGCCGGCCGCATCACGACGCTGCCTAGGCCTCGCTGCCCGTTCTGGACGGTCGCTGACATGAATTACAGAGATTGGGGTCATTTTCTGCTCTGGTGGTAGGTTTGCGCCCTATCCAAGCTCTGGCGCATTGGTGGTCTATCGGAGCTGACGCCGGTTCAGGAGGTTTCTTCCTCATCGGAGGAGTGATGCTCTTCTTTGACCGAGCCATGTACGTCCCCCTTTTCCCGCACACGAGTCTGTTGAGATGAAGCTGACGGTCTGTTGCAGGCTTGCCATGGGAAACGTACGATCTGCCCCCTTGAAACGCTGACGTGCGACCCAACTGACCGACGCGGCCGCAGATCCTCTTCCTGATCGGCCTGACGATAATCATCGGACCGCAAAAGACGCTCCTCTTCTTCGCGCGTAAACAAAAGGCAAAGGGAACGGCGGCCTTCTTTGGCGGTCTCGCCCTGATCCTGTTGCGGTGGCCCCTTATCGGCTTCTGTATTGAGCTCTACGGCATAATGGTTCTTTTTGGTGACTTTTTGGGCACGATTGCGGCGTTCGCGAGGAACATACCCGTTATTGGACCGTACATTGGGGTCGCGGTCGACCGGTCTGGTGTTGGTCGACGAAACGCGGAGCTGCCTGTCTAGTCACACGATATCTGAAGTTACGGCGCACTTATTGGGTTGGTCGGAATGGGACAGCGTATAGACGGGTTGTATACCACAGAACGGCGCAGCTGGATTTGAGCGTGTTGGTCTCTCCAAACATGTATCATACGTCGAGGTGTATCGATTTGGCCAAAGTGTCAAGATAATGACTGTACGAAAGCACTCCGCATTACCTTGTGGTGCATGATTCAGGGACTCTGTTCCGGACATGGCCGTGGCTAAGCAAAGATTCCGCCATTGGTAACTCTTGCTAATCTAGTGTTCGTCGATTCGTATGTCAAATCCTCATCGTGTGTGTGGGAGCGAGATGCCCAGCCTGCCTCGCACACGGTAAAACTCCAAGGGCGCCTTCAGATGGGCCGCCCGTCCACCCTCCGCCGCTCTTCCACGCTCGCAACACTTAGTAGTTGACACCGACCAGGTAGTCCGCCAGCTTCTGCACCGCCTGGTTTGCGTTGCCACCCTGCTGGTTCTCGTTGTGGTGGCCGACGAGGATGGCCTGGTTGGTCTTGGCGACGGCGATGCCGTCACGTCCCTGGCTTGATGTCAGTCCCTTGGGCCTCTTCTCAGGGCTTGTGATGCCAACCTTTCTTGCGTAGATGGTGCCGTCCTCGGCGCGGGCCATGACGAATCTGTCACCGGCAATGTAGAGACCGTCGGCGAAGGCCTTGTCCTTGGCGCCGGCGTCTCCCTTGACAATGTCGGAGATGACCTTCATCTCGTTGGCGGCAAGCTGTGTGCACCAGCGTAGTCAGCATTCGGCGGCATGTTTAGAGACAGAACACCGCGACATACCGTGAAGCCGGCGGTCGACGCCCACGTGCTGTCGCCAGCGATGCTGATGATGGCGGCCTTGTCAATGTGGCCAGTGCCAACGAGGCTGCAAAGTCCATGTCAGCCATGATCGTCCGTGTAACTCCCATCGGGTGCCCGTGACGGGACGGGCGCGGGATGGGAAAGGGGGAGAGCTCTGGTGCGCGGCTACCTGGTGTCAACATAAGCTGTGACGAAGGCGACAGGTTAGCTCTCTGTTTCGGCAAAGGTGGGGGTTTTCGGGGATGGCCTCTCTCTGGACAGAGCTGGGCCGTTGCTCTGCTTACCTTGCCACGACATGGTGAAGGAGTGGAAGGAAACCTGGTGCTCGCTGATGCAAATACGGGAAAAAAAGAGACAAGAAGCTTCAGTCGAAGAGTGTGAGTGCAGCAGCCCAAGCTTTGACGCGGTGTGGTGGGATATTGGAGGGAGGAATTTCGGGTTGAGATGTGTTTCTTGGTCGCCCTCCTGCCTGACCTGCCCCTCTTAGAGATACATCAATTTTTAGGTCCAGCGGGCCGGGCGGGGTACACCGCTATGAACTGAGAGGTCGTCACCGGGGCGAGCGCCGCGGGGCGGGGTACTTTCTTCAGCACGGGTTGCAACTAGGCGAATACAAGTGTTTCTGGTCCCTTCCACTTGCCACGGGCTGCTTTGTCCTGGATTCATGCGGCGGGGTGGTGACTCTGTCTGGCTTCCCAGGCGACCACCGCCTCCCGAGCCGGCTTTGTGCTCTGCTACCTTACCTGCAGTGTACCTGATCCCATCATTTTGGCATTTGTGTTTATCCCGCAGGCCCGGGCTCAGGAGCAGCAGCAGCAGCAGCAGCATCGTCTGCTTGCACACATCACCAGCCTCATCAGTCAGTCAGTCGGTCAGTCCATTTGTTGACCGTTGCCATTGCGACCTCGGCCAATCGTCCTCCACCACCAGGGGGAGAAAGCTCGGCCGGTCTCCATAGGGGTGATCCGCCGGGCCATTCCATCACCGCCTTTGGGGCCAAATATCTTACCGCAAGATGGTTCCCTACCTCGACTCACGTTAGCAGTATTAACAGGCCTGCTATCCACGGCAAACACCATTTAGCGTCCGCCCCCAACAAGACGGGCTCTGCGACAACAAGGAACTGCCTTCGTCCAGCTTCACTGCGGACTCTGCCCCGCCAAAGGCTGCCATCACGTGATGGCGGGGTGACTGTGCCAATTGGCCTGTCTAAGCACCGTGCGGCCGGCAGTGACGCGATTCCGCTTTAGAATGCATGAATTTGCGCCACGGCAATGCATCAGCCACCTACTGCCGCCAGCCACGATGAGCCCCATGTCGTGCCAAGCCTGCCGGCAGACTCTCAGGCCTGCAACTGCGTGAACTCAACACCCCATTGGGACTGACGGCGCGCAGCTGCAAGAGGGCAACATCAAGGCACCGACGACGGAGGTCCGCTCGCGCTGCCGCTCGTGGTCTGGAGCACAACTCGCCCTCCGTTGGATGGCATGCTTTCCGTCCAGCTCGGTCCCGGTCTGCTTTGGGCCAGCCGGCTGGCTCTCCGTTATGGGCTGCTGCAAATAACGAAAAAGGCCTGGGCCTCTTGCTCATCGGATGCTTGCAGAAGGGTGAGGCGAATTGTTTCTTTCAGCTCTCCCAGGAACGGCGGACGGGATGCAACATTGTCAACGGATCGTCGGCTGGGGCTGCGTTACGC